TGCCATCCTATTGTCTGTATGGTTTTGTATGCGACTGCATGTAAAGTGCTATAGCTTTTTTTTAGATTTCTTATCCTACTATCAGTTCAAGTAATCTACATTTGGTCAAGATTTTTGGGCTTAGCTAGCTAAATCGACCTCATCCTACTACTACTAATACTGCTCTTTTAAAATTGACTCCTATGTTATCAGCTAACTTTTCTCTTCAAGGAAGTCAGTGGCTCGGTATCCGTAAGGCAAATATCCTAACCATCGCCTCACTCAGTGCACCTGCTTGTCAGCTTCATCGACGAATAACACTACACCCAGACTCAAATTATTGCGTCACGAACTAACATATGTTAGAGACAAGCATCGAAAGCCAGGGAACACAGGAGACAGCTGTTTCGTCCTGTTTTTTCTAAATGACTCTTCAGCAATGTACACCCACATAACCCTACTGACAGTTGAATCATTCACGACTTTTATGAGGTGGTTACATATGACCAAGCTCTTTGATTATTCAACCACTCAGTAAGTTAAAATTCAATGTCCCGTGAATTCGAACTCGTGTTGTGTGTTAATTCGTGATATAGCGCTACCTCCAAGCAGTATCTTCGATAGATATGTAATTCACTTTGAGATGGTGAACCCCACCCGCGACTTCGCAGTTCATAGCTTCAGGACATCCATCCAGTCACCAGTAATCATGAGTTGTAGAGGCCCAAACTAGTCTGAAGAGACAGTACTGTTTAGTGGTTTTAAATAATTCACTCCCTAACTAGATGACACTACGACATCATTTTGTGTGTAGTCTCCAATAGAAAACATTTCAGAATCATTAATTTTCATCTTTACTCCCCAACTAACTATATTAAATTATATCAGAGTGCAGATAACAATTCATTGTAGTTAGTTATGGTTAAGTTTGTGCTTGAGTGTTTAAGGTATGTTCAAGGTGATGATGAGTGAGAGTTCCATTTTAGCATAACAAAACAAAATAACAAAGTAAACTGAAAGCTTGTCATAATTTCTTTAAAAAAAATATTCTCTTTCTTGGAGACTTTTGTCATAAACTAATACACCCCCACACACACACACACAAACGCATACATTAGAGAAATCACAAAAGTATATTTACAGATTGCCATACCTACACATCACAATGATCTTTACTACCACTCAAATGGTGTATCTATGTTTATATCTACTGTGTGTTGTGTACACATTGTGCCTTCATTTATACTTTCGTTCCGTTATTTTTCATTTTCTCAATTTGACCTCACACAAACATACACCTGCTGCTGCCTTTTTTGTGTGTTGGCGTGACACTGATTTGTTCTCTGACCTTTGTTCTAGTGCATATCTGTATGTCTGTTTGTGACTCAGAGTGATCACTATCCAGCAGTGAATGCAATAGTCCGAGAATGTGAGAGAGACAGAGTCATGTAGAAAGTTGTAAAACCGCATATAAAATTGAACTTTGACGGTTGATTAATTTCAATAGTCAATCAACGGGCTTCACGTCGTAACCCTGAAAGTCGTGAGTTCCTGTTGCTGAAAAATCAGTTCAAAGCTAGACAGACTGTCTAATTACAGAGCCACTATCATGTCCATGATCTACAAAAGGCTTTGTTATTCAACTTTTTGGAACCTTGATTTCAGATATTTTCAACCACTCTGCTCCATCATGCGGGTAGACAACCGTCTTTCAATACGACATATGTATTTGCTTCTAATGGTATAGAATACCCCTCTATGTAAAGTATTCAGCTGAAGAGATCTACCGGAATTTGAGGAATACATTAAATCCTGCTCTATTAACAACATGTGGTGCTTGTTTCGAATTCATATAGAGAAATAAATGTTTCCAATCTTATGCTTACTAGTTAGCACCTGACTACAGAATGAGGTTATGCGGAGTGTTCTACCTAAAAGTCGTGTCCTGTAGGGTATATCAAGTCGTCGGGTATCAGAATAAACGCTCACTGACTACACATTGGCTGGTGGCAGCAGCCACGCTAAAATGACTTATTGATAGAAATTAGACTTCATGCACTGTATTCCAGTCCGCTCAACTGGTCGCATGCATAGTTGTCAACGGGCATGGTCTCATTACCTGAAGCTCCTGATAGACTCGTCGGTGCCTGTTGGTGGAGAGTCTCACATTAGGATGAAACAGCTTTTCGGTACTCCCTGCTTCTGGTGGTTTTCGATGTTCGTCTAACTGACGTCAATCCGTGGTCACATGTGAATTAAATCAAACTCTTACAAGCCAACATCTGAAACTAAGTGTATTTACATGTATAAGCAATCGCACACACCGAAACCATGATGCTTAGATTTATCTTCACATAGCCACTTCAGTATGCGTAAATCGTCTGCTTGTGTGTTTGTATGCACTCCATTGTGTACATTGTGCTTTCATTCCTCTGATTTTCAATTTCTCAATTTGACCTCACACAAACATACGTATTTGCTGATGTTTGTTTGGTGTGTTTACATGAGACTGGTTTGTTCTCTGACCTTTGTTCTAGTGTGTCTTTGTGTATGTCTGTGGAATTATTCATTTTCTTTTCATCCCTCCTGCATTATTTTAATGTGCCAATATCGACCATCCCGCATGGCTGTCAATAGCGAAGCCAATAGAGAGAATCATGTTAAGTGAAATGAAAAATGGAATAAAACAGCATTTAGAACCAAAAGTAAACAAAATATGATGCTGGTTAATAAAGAGAACTTGGTGAACTTTACCTGTCTCACCTTGAGTGTGCTTCACATATGTCCATGTCGTCCTATAAAATGTTATGTTTGTGTATGTGTGTAGGTTTGTGACTTGACCTTAGTGTTTTCTGTTAACCCTAACCTCAACTGTATATGATTCACGTTTTTCGTTATTATTATTATTGGGATTGTTAAATTTTCAAGAGTTAGTTTGTGGGGATATGATATATTTTTCAAGTTCGCTCACGGATTGATGTTTACGTTTGTTGCCAGATGAATGTCGAGGAAGTGGAACATTCCGTCGGATTTTTGTTAAAGAACCATTGAAAACCACGAGAAAGTACTGGGCACCTGTTTCTGGGACTCATTGGCACCACCCGCCTAAATATCTCTCAAAAATTAATCTGATGCTCACCAGTAACTGGCTACAGGAAAATGTTACCCGGAGTTCTAGTGAGAAGTTGTGACTAGTGGGGTCCATCAGGTCAGGAGTATGGACAAATAAACACCACCTATGACGTTAACTAGTGCCTGTCGCGCTAAAATCACGAATTGGTAGAAGTTAGAATTCACGGGCTGGTCACTTAGTCGGGTACCAGTGGCTGAATGGTTTATGAGCTTGCCTTGTAATCGGAGGGCCCTGGGTTCGAACCTGGGTGGTGGGTGGGAACTGCTGATAAGTCCCAGACTAGGAAGAGGTAGCTGTCTAGTACTCCTTGTGACTGGTTTTCAGTTGCTCTTTAACTGATATCAATCCCTGGTCAACCTTCAAAAGATAAATTTGCGGGTGCTGATTTGCAAGTGGGGTGGGATGATTTGAAGTTTTATCACGAATTAACCGATACACGCACACATGTGTTAGAGAGAAAATCATTGAAAAGCACTCCCAGCACCATTGGAGTTCTCTGGACAGCTATTTGTCCTCCTAATTTGGAAGTGATTGTTTAGCCGTTGTACTCAACCATGAATCCACCACCGATAGAGAACTAACTGTCCACGAGCTTGTTGACTCCAATCGGACAGCCTGTACACCTCATTATTACTCACTTGAGTTCCTTGCAGAGCATAGTGTTTCACCGACACATCTCAATTCTGTTTACTTCTCTGTCTTTAACTTCACCTGCCCCCCCCCCCCCGTGACTGCTTATAAGCTTTCATTTTCTCTTCATACAACCTCTCCCATGTCACCATGAGGCACACATTCGTCGTTTCACATTTCGTCTCTACTTGAAAATGTAGCTGGTGGCGGTTATCACTCAACCGTCTCATCGGTGTATGTATGTGTGTTTGATTCAACTCCATTTTTTCTTTTTCATATTTGTTAGGTAGTCAATAGTTCTTTTTTTTGGCTACTAGACAGTTCAAGTTCCCTGATGCCTGTCAGTTATGTGATCTTCAGTAGCGAAGACAACATCTGTTTGTTGGAAGTCTACACAAATCTGCTAGAAATGCTTTTCCTAACGTGCTTGGCCTTAAATAATAAATATAAAGTGATAGGTCGATGTCACTAATTCATAAGCACTTCCTCTAAATTGGATTGATTATTATTATTATTGATTAAAACTTAAATGTTGTACATTATGGGCACCAGGAGATACACTACACAAAATTGTCTCATAGTTTGTTCGTGGACTGAGATACTGTCTGAATGCTCAGACTCGGTGTGCTTTTGGCAGTGTGTGGGCGGTTGTTACTTCCCGGCTGCCCACACCGTGGAAGTTGGTTGAGTCTTCGGGTACCTGAAATAGAGGAAAAGTTAGTGTTGCGTGACCAATGCTCAGACTGAAGAACGTGGCCAAACACTTGCTGATAAACCACCTCAGAATTGCCTACTCTCTCTATGATACCATCGAACACAAGCAACAGTTCAACAGAGACAGCAGAGTCGCTGCACGTCCTCAGCTTAGTGATGTCAGAACAAGACTTCACGCGCACCGGAGCATTGTAAATCCGACTTTTGGCAGCCAGGTGGACATTGCCACAGTATCAGAGGTGACTCAAATTATCGATTGCCACCTTAGCTTTCATTCCGTGATTAGAGATCTCGTCCGACATGCCTCCACCAGCCTTCACACAAATACCATCCTAGATACACGGTCTGTTTGACAAATTCAAGCAATTCACCTGCATGGGGAACAATGCAGGTACAGGCTCCTATCAATCTTGCAACAGTACCACTTTGCAGTTAGACGAAATCAGATCCTTGTGTTAAACAATTAAACTGTGTGTGTATGTGTGTGTAATCCATCTCATTCTTTCTTCTTTTTTCTTTCTTTCTTCCTATGCATCGTGTTCAGGTACAATTCGTCGACGATTTAATAAACCTGCAGCAGCTATACGTGCACGTATGGCACAAAAGTGCAAAGATGAAAGACGTTTTGGTCGTGCCTTACAGAATCCCAGTCTTCATAATTGTTATTCTTCAATAGATGGTAGTGGTACATATGAATTCAATGATTGTCATTCCCCTGTCGCTGCGATTACACCATGTCGATCTGGTGGTGGAATAAAAAGAAAATCAAAGAAACGATTATTAACCTCTACTGCTGGTCATTCAAATGTGAAGACTTCATCTGATTCTATGAATGGAATCAAAGAACAATCAAATACACCTAATAATAATAATAATAGTGGTACTCTGTATCAAATTCATACCATGAATGGTGATGATGCCTATTCCTCATCCACAACAACAACGACAGCTGATTCCAATCAACTCCCATCGATGGTCCACCAAAGTTTCGACGAAGATAATGATCGTCGTTGTTTCATTCCATCCTCATGTGTTCTAGATGATTCCTCATCCTCAGGAGGAGGTGGGGGAGGATTGAGTCATCAGTCTGATGTGAACTATGCGGATAATTATTATCATTCTATAAATAGTGATGGTAGCGGCGATCAAATCATCACGTTCTCATCAACGTCATCAAAGTTTGTGATGAATGATGGAGTGGCCAGTACTACTGATAATACTAGTCACAGTAATAATAATGATGATAATAATAATAATAGTAATCCGGGTAAGTGTATGAACCATGGATCCATTGAATCCTCCTCACCAGCATGTATCCTTTCTAATAACAATAGTGATTATTATTATGAAATATCTTGTGGATATCAAGGACAACATCAACAAGAATAACTTGCATCTTCCTGTGGTGTCGGTGGCGGTTGGTTGGCTTATGTTTGGCTCACCCCCTCCCCAGTCACCGTTCGTCTTCACAAAAAATCAATAAGTGAGCTTTTTGTATTTTTGTAGTCCCGAATACCACCACCCCTTCGCCTTCCGAAGAAAAATGAAGGTTTTCTTATCAGTTACTTGGATACGCCTTTTATTATTGTTTTTATTATTACTATTATTTTTAGAGAATTATTATCATTATTCTTATGTAATCACACCATGGTGCCTCTTTTTTGTTACGAAGAACTCGGTTTTCCCATAATATTTTAATTGCAATAATGATAATGATGCTAATAGGGATTGATAATATTTTCTTCTAATGATCCCCCCAATCTATCACTTCTGTATTTGGAATGCAGCATTTTCTCATTTTTGGTGTGTGTCCTTTGGTTGGTTGGTCTTTGAAGCATCGTCATACACTCTTCCCCTCTCTTGAGAGGCTGCTGCTGCCTAATGTGTGTGTGTGTGTGTGTGACAAGGGAGGATGTTGATGACTGAGTGAGTATTTGTGTACGCTTTTCATCCATCCATCCATGCACCTCCAAGAGGTTTAAACAGTTCAGTAGATATCTGTAAACACACACAAACGATTGTCCACCCTCTGCTTTCATCACTGATTGATTCAGCTCTATCGATCTCGTTTTCCTTTTTGTTCTTTTTTTCCAAAAAATACCCCAGCAAATCTATTTTTCAATGAAAAAATATGAAAGACGAAGATGCTGTGCTTTTGCTGTCGTCATTTGCACACATAATAGGTGCAATTTTCCGGTGGCTTCATCATACACACTACACACCCCGTTTATTTCCGTGCCTATCAGTACATATTATTATTATTATTAGCGTTATCACTATGGTGTGATAGATCAGTATTCCTGTGTGTTTTTTATAATGTACAATTGATCACTAAACGCATTCGATCTCTTTTCTGTCTGTTTTGTATTTCGGACTTATTACTCGTAACAATGATGCTACTGCTTATACTACCATTATTCTTATAGTTTTCAGTAGTATGTAACACTTTCCTATTAATATATAATTATTATTTTTATTATTTTTGATTGATTTTCTTATATGTACACATTTAATTTAATTTATATGAATGTTATGTTATATGTTATACTTTTGTTTTATACAATATTTTTTGGAAGTTTCTATACCGGTTTTTATTTTGTCATCTCTCCAGCCGCTCGTATATTACTCAATCTGTTTGTTTTTCTGTAATCATATAGCCTGATGGAGCCCCGTTGGAAATGGATGGATGCGTGGGCGGGTAGTGTGGATTTTGATAACATTCCGATTTATCTTTCTGTCCCTCTCTCTCTCTCTCCCTGTATGTATGTTGGAATGATGCCTAATTTTTTATTTCTTCTTAAGTTAATGTTTCCCTGCCCACCACCACCTTTCGGTGTCTTTTTTGCATTATGGTTTACTATTCTTCAGTGTGTGTTTTCTAGTTGGCGGATGCTTTTGGTTATCTTTGAGGCAGTGTCCTGCAGTCTTCCATTCTGCTCCACTCTTTTGCACATACAACATATTTGCACATACAACATATATTTGTCCTTATTTGAAACTAATTTTTATTCAAAAACCTGTTACTAAAATGGGGATGTGTAACAAGGGAGGTTAATGAGTGAATATATGACAGAGAATATACTGCTGGCTTCTATCTACCTACACACATCCGGCAGGGGAAGGGATTAAACAGCTCAATTATCTGTACAGACACAGACGTCGTACACACAGAGACAATTATCCGTCTTCTGCTTTCGCTGATTGATTCAGCCTTCTCGATCTCATTTTTGGTTGTCATCATTTACACACACATACACTATATATATATATATATATATATATATATATATATATATATATATGGTGGTTATATACCGCACTTCACACCTTTTATTTCTGTGCCTTCCAGCACATAATATTATTATTATTATTATTATTACTAATATTGTTATGATCCGATGAATCAGTACTTATGTTTTTCTATTATCTACAATCGATCACTGAACACATTCGACCTCTCTTGCATATCGGATTTATTTATTACTCTTAATAAGGATACCACTACTCATACTACTAATATTATTATATCCAGTAGTATGTGACATTTCCATTAGTATTGTTATTATTACTTCAATTATTTTTTGAATTTCCTTACATGTGCACACATGTACATGAATAATTTTATTTATATACTGCTTATTGCATAAATTTTTTCTGGCTTTCTTTATTAATGTTCACCTATCAATTTAATTACTTACTGTATACTTTCAATCATTTGTGTCTTTGTGCGTGAGTGCGAATGTCGGTAACATGTATGTTACTGAGTTTCATTTTCCACACCTCCATCCACTTAGTATATTACTCAATTCGTTCTTTTTTTAAGTTGCAACCCGTGGTGGGAGGGGATGGTGAGTGATGTTAACATTCCTTTTTTTTCTCTGTGTAGAAACAGTGCCTCCACCCTGGTCATACACACACGGTACACATGTGTTTCTTTTTATCTGTGTCTTGTGCTTTATGTCTGTTTCACTGCCAGTGCGTGTGGACGTGCTCACGTGGCTCACGTATAAACATTCCTGTTTTGTGTCATTCTTGACTTCTATCTATCAATCCGTATTTGCGTGTTCGTGGGTGTTTTATAATTTTCTAGGGAATAATAATGTGACAACTCCGGTGCTTGTATTTTTTATCTCCCTTCTCAATAATAATACTGCCTTACTTGTTATAAATGTTATGATCTCATTAAACCTTGCAGAAATATGTCAGCAATGCATGCTTGACGGACGGACTCAATCACTTACTTACTTGACCCCCTTACTTCCCTACTTCTCTACTTGGCTTCCTTCTTACCGATTCTTTCTCGTTTCTACCTCTTTTTTTATCGTCTATCCGTTTTTCTCCCTTCGCATCATGATTATGTAATCAATTTCAAAGTAACTGAGACTGATGGAACGTAGTCACAGTGATGAGAAAAGATGGGAGGAGTATTTCTGTCTCTATGCTTGACACAGAATGTGCGTCTAATAAAACATTAAAACAAACCAAATCAAAGTTTTTTTTGCGAAGCTTTTTCTCTCTCTCCAAAAAATCATTTTTCTATTCACTGTTTTTCACATATTGGCTACTTCTACTACTACTACTACTACTTTACAAGTGCACTTTGTTTCTGTGGATTCATTTATGCAAATCAAACTGGATTTATGTAATATTTACGACAATAATAATCACAACAATAATGTTATTAAACGTTAATATAGGTACGCTTTCATTGTATTATTTTGGTTTGATCGTGGGTGGTTGACAGTGGGATGCAAGATCTTGGTGCGAGTATATGTGTTTTGATCATGCAGCCGTGTACTAGCTTACGGAGAGTTGTCATCTGACAACTATGATGACAACCAGTGGTGTCTGTCAGGCATGCCCACTGTCCCTTTTTCTGTTAATTTTTATCATCGATGTATTCTTAGAATTAATCATAACTGGCTTCAGTGACTCAGTGATTGAATTGTTACCATCAGGGAATAGTCTTGTCTTGACTTAGAGAATGAGGATGATATAGTCTTCCCAGGTGAAAACGTTGATAAACTGCAGAATATTGTGAACACCTTGAGCAGAAATCTCCGTATGTTTGGCATGTGATTTGCTCCTGTCGAATATATAAGATGATGTTACAGGGCTGGAGTACATCGACTCCCAACTTAATGGTAGTGAGGCAGTAAAGTAATGAAACGTGTTGACCACTTCACTTATTTGGGAAGTTGCATCTGCCCCAGCGTGTTGATTACCGACGAAATCTGAACATCGATGCAGTACACATACAACAAATGCTCATTTGGCATTTGCCAACTTACTTCATCTCTGTAGCACTGACGTCCTATATCCGGTTCTCTGTTAAAAGAGGTGAGTAATGCACACCAGCAGTTCATTCTACCCTCCTTTATGGTTGAGTGTGACGTGGCCATTGAAGGTGGAAGACACGAAATGCCTAGTTAGCCATCTTTCATCACACGTATTTTCGTTTTATTTCCCATGTTAAGTAGTATAATATAGTGAGTAATATTGATGTTAGGCGCCGAGTACTAGATAAGGAAGGAAAGTCAGTCTCGATGAAGCTGTGAAGCAGATGCGTCGATTGAGTTGGTTAGGATATGTGTTACTATCGATATTATTTTCATGACTGAGCAAAAGGGCTGGGTCATTGTAATACATTCACTTGAATGTAATCACACAATGCGATGTGAGTGGGAAGGGTAAATGCATTAAAAGGGATAAAATTACTTGGAGAAAGGCGTGAATCCTCGAATCTTTGTTTATAGAATCAACACACAAACAGACACCAAAAAGCTGCAAACGAAATGACTCAGCCCGTATAACATATATATATATATGTATATAAAGCAAATTATGAAGTCGTATGATGAATACATTGATATCATTATGAGCAGCACTAATAAGAGTTGTGCTCGAAGTGTCGTCGTCCAGTTATCAATCCACTGTATCACTCACTCACTCACTGTGTGTTTTGTAAAATAAGCTTCTTAAATACAGATGCCACCTGGCTGGTTGTCTTTTACATCTTCCTCCATACTGTTTCACTTGTATAGTTGGAATGGGTGTAATCATTCTCCCTGTCTGTTTCTCTCTCTCTCTTCATCATGCATAACCAATCAATAATTACTAGGGGTTTATTGATTTCTTTCTATTATTATTATCATTATTATTATTACGAGGCACTTAGTATGATGATCTCATGTGTAAAAATGAAGAAGAGGATGTTGTGTAACTTCAAAAAAGAAGAGATCATAATACACCACCATTTTTGTTTTTGCAACATATGAGATCATCAAGCCTACACACTATTATTATCATTAATAATATTTGGTATTTTACCTGCCTCATCTGATTCCTAAACTCTCTTGGTTCTGTTTCGATTGATTGATTGATGATTCATCTATATGCATATGTGTATAGGTGTATACTGCAAAGGAATAAAAATCTGGTCCCATTTCGATTTTACATTTGGGTGCGTAATTCACTACTCTACTCTTTCTTTCCGCTTGCCTGTTCCTCTGGCTATCCTGTCTTTACTGTAGAAGTAGAATTGACTTAAATGTTTGCATTTAGCTATCCAGTTGACGAGTGCTAACAAGACAGGGCTTCTCTGGTCCTTGCCGGTTTACTGGATGACGACGCATCTTAAAATACACAACTTCGAAACTTGATTTTTAATAGTTCGCTTTCTTCTTCCCCATTTGTCCAATTGTATTGGTTGGTTGTCTTCATCACCTCCGTCTTCTCTAGATCCACATGAGGTCCTGTCCTCTCTGCTTTCCTCTTCAGCCAACTTGTTGGTGTTCGCCTAAGTCTTTGACTTTGTGTGACAGAAGACATAAGTCGTCCTCAAATTCCAAATCTTCTGCAGCATTCTCATCGATCCAACGTATTCCTGTCTTCTGGCTTCTTACAGTCTCCTGAATAATCCAGTCGACAGCAGTCAGGAATATCATGGGTTATAATATACCGTGTTGTCCTTCTCATTCCTGTATTCACTCCAACGGTTTCTCTGTGTTTTCCGTTGTGGATCACTTGACATGTGGCAGTGCCATATAGCTGTGGTTAAATGAGGTTGATAAAGATTTGAGGCACGCCGTAGTGTTGAAGTAGTTTCCAAATTACGTCTCGGTCAACGCTGTCTGTCGAAGGCCTTTTCGAAGTCGATGAATTTGATGAAGTAGAGAAAGGTTTGACTGCCATTCTACGCTTCGTTCTGTGATGACGATGAGTAGAGTTGCAATTTGATCAGCACATGATTCGCCTTTCCTAAATCCAGCTTGTTCCGATAGGGGGTAGAGTTCTGTATCCAGTGCATCGTTTATTCTGTCCAGGATGATGCGACTTGTTATTTTACTTGGAGTGGACAAGAGCATTATTCCACGCCAGTTCTTGCAATGTGAGGCATAAGTCGCCCTTCTTTGGCAGCTTGATGTGGTAGCCAGTCTTTCTTCCAATCGGTAGGTACCTTTCCTTCTTTCGAAACTGTTTGCAATATTAGCGTGAGCGCACACGTCTCAGTCTCTGGGTCTGCTTTCAGTAGTTCGGGAGGAATTCCGTCTGGTGCTGCTGCCTTCCCTGCAAGCGTTCAGTAGCTTGATTGTATTTAGGATTTCTGCTTTGGTTGGAGGATTGGTGTCCAGTGGCAGGCAGTTCTGTGCGTCCTGTTGGTGATGGTGTATTTCCAGACTAGTTGCAGGTGAAGTTTTCTATATATTTCAGAGACACACTGGAAGCATTTCCAGTCGGTTATTACGGATTTACATCGACACATACCTTCGTTGTCCTGTTACTGAGTATCAGATAGCAACACAGAACTCAAGTAGCGAAGGACTTACTGCCCACCAAAATATGGAGATGCATTGGACGTACGCTGACAAGACCGATGTGTGACAACTCACCAATGGTACTCTAGTGGAAAACGAAGAGTTGGTTGTGGGTACAAGGGTGATATGGAGCAGAAAGTCACTCACAGCCCAAAGGGATTATGATTCTGTGAATAATAGAGGTAAAAAAGATGGAGCGATTTACGTTAACGAGGATAAGGAAAAGTGGTCTGATTTATATCAACAAGCTTTCGAGTAGTAGTAGTAGTGGATAGAGGCTAAGAAAAACAAATAGCCAGACTACATAATCCTGGATTGTTGTGGGGATGTAAATAAACTAAATTTTTGATGAAAATACAATCAGAAAAGGAATAAAAGTCTATAAGAATCAGTGGTAATGGTAAAGCTAGTTGGTTAGGTGTTCTGTGCTCCCTGAAGAGATAGTTACTCTACGGACTTCTTCTGAGTGCAAAGTTTAAGCTTAATAGTTCGAACGTTAATCCATCCGATCACATGAAGTATACAAATATGGAGACCAACATATATCACCATCACTGATCGCTAGACAGGTCAGATGCCATCAAATACACCAGTTATTCGACAGACTTTCTGCGAAATGTATACCTTTTGCCTTTTCAATGAATCTCGGCAATAAACCTCTGCCTACTCATAACTAGCTAGTGAAGCTGGGAGGGAATAACTTGTGTGAATTCTGGTGGGGAACTAGTGAGAAGCAGCATGAAGTACTGGACCGCTGTTTCATTCTCCTAGTTTGGGACGGACTCTTCAGCAGTCAGCTGCTGGTGATGAAGCCCCTGCAAAGCAACTCACACTTCAAAATTAGTCAAATAAGGGCACTAGTGACTGATTGACTGCAGCCTGAAGTCGTAGTAAGAAGTGATCAGTAGGGTTCACGAAGTACATGAGGGATGAGCATTGATACTCACCGATGACATTAGCTGGTGGTGGCGGCGTTAAATATCGCCCAAGGAGAATACTCTTCAGTCTGAAACAGGATATCTAACACTTTTCCACTATTACCGCGCCTAAGCCTTTTGAAATTATACATGTCGCATTTATTCCAGGAGCAAAGACTATGGCGTGGTGATTGATACCATGGCTTCATTGGATTATACACAAAATTCCTAAAGAATATTGGCACCACATAAATACTAAACCCATAATATATAAAGAAAGTAGGGATAGAATAGATGAGGGAGGGCATTTAGAAAGCATGTGAGCATACTTGTCAACAGCATTCAAAAGAGGATTCTATTATCAGAATGAGAAGAGATGTAACATGTTCGCTATGCGATTACAGTTCGTGGACATATCTGATAACGTCTCAAGCCACTGATTCGAATTATCTATCTCTCGTAACATTCCAACTTCGAAAACCTAATAACATCCATTATCCATCATCTTATGGTGGGAAGGCATGAGTTGATCATACACTCCCCCTCCACCTTTTTTAATTGAGAAGGTTGAGCATGATTATAGCGACCCCATCAAGTATAAAAAATACACGGAATTGCAAAGCTTGAAACAATATCTTCTACTTGGAAAGTAAGGAATGAAAAAAATGTTTGCCAACAGTGACAGATCATTTCAGCTGAATAAATTCAATAATAACACGAAACGACACCGGGTAAAATCAATCGCAGCCCACAGTTTCATTTCGTATTAGTCAGTCAACCACAGTTGGTCCGTCAGCGGTTATCTAGTAGAATGATAGCTAGTCACACGTGAGGTGTCCGGTTTCTATTTCCAGTCGCTGACACGGAAAAGATGGAAGCTTTGCCGTGAGGCTAACCAGAAACTTGAAGCTGTATGTTCTGTTCGGGACGCAGACAAATGAAAAACAAACCCACCAATTATAAATGCACTATCAAACTGAGGAGGATATAATAAAAATTATTTGTTAGAAATTATGAGAATGATTCAGAACTTGTCTTGCAATCGTGTGGATTGCATCACCTAGTCCCTCAATAAATCATACATATTTAAGTGTGCCCTCAAGTATTTGCTTAAGCAAGACTTTGTTGACACCATCCTCTCTTCTCAGTGGCTATGATTCTGTACACGACCTTCTGCCTGATAAATGTGATAGATTCAGCGAGGACTTGGTATATACTATATATTCAGTGGAGCGGTGTTTTGCATTGACCAGTTGCATAGTAGTGGCTTGCTTCATCGTGGTTTGCTGCAAGCATCTTCTTCTGCATAAGAATTCAGGCACCAGCTCACAGTCTGATGAAGCGGAGATAGTTCTCTGTAGCCTTGGAAGTATGGCGCATCTACCTTTATCTTGGAGTTCTGTGACACAAGACGACTTATCCTTCCCCTATGTTGCCTGAAGTGGTGAGGGAGTAGCCGAGTCATCTAAAAGTCAATTATCATACAGTCATCCGGTAGCTCAGCACAGTACCAAGTTACTGTCACAGGATGTACACAGTTTAGCTCTCCTTCTGTATGACATGTTCACTGGCAAACGACCATACATTGGATGTGGCTCTTCCTTAATCTTTTTGAAGAAAATGCTTCATTTGGATTTCCTTCAGTTGTGCAATAGCGATAACGCTCACCCATCAAGTGCTTAAATAGAAATTTGTAATGCTTGCACACACAATAATCCAAAACAACGTCCATTTACAAAATATTTATCAAATAGGTCACCGATACAGCAAAGTTTCAACAGATCCATCACAAGTAAAGAATTAGATTCCTTTTGAGTTAAAATAAAATACAAAGGATAATCAATTGGAAGATGTTACAGAGAACGGGCGTTTTCTCAGTTTTTATCTGCTGGCGTGAGTATTTTATTGAGCAGATTTGAAAATTCTGTACCTTCCGATATATCTCGAGAATTACGATATGTCCCTTTTTAGGCGTTTCTATGTCATGGCTCTGGTTTGAATCTAGTTAATGATCATGTTAGATTTAGCCGTAGAATGAATAGCGTCTCACGAGCTTAAGCAAAAACAAAAGTAAGAACATCGTGGGCTTCAGACTAGACAGTAAAGAGAAACGCAATATATAGAAAAGGAACTGGGTGTGCTAAAACTGAGTAATGGTGTTAATCAAGTTTCTTCGGGTAAAGATGATGGGCAGTTGTACGACTCAGCTGGCTCATACACTAAGATGAAGAGTGGTTGTGCCTCTAAAGTATCGGATATGTTTGATAGTTATGACAACGCAAGAGATGCAAAAATATCACCGTTCCGTGTTGGCCTAGAGCTGCCAAAGGTGGAACTATGCTCGTTTGATGGACAGCCGGCCAAGTATTGGAATTTTGTGAGACAGTTTGAGCTTTATTTGGTGTCCAACGCACAGATTGACGGACATTGCCTCTTACATTTGTTGCATTATTGTAAAAGCAATGCCAGGGAGGCCATCGAAGAGTGCATTATGCTCCCACCTTCGTCGGGTTATCGAAGAGCTCGTGATATATTGACTAGGCTTTTCGGAAGAACACATGAGGAGAGCAGGTCATTGCTGCTTGAGTTAATGCAATATCCGTAGATAGAAAACAGTGATGCTAAAGCCATGTCAATACTTGCTAAATATCGAAGAATAATCGTCTTTTCCCTGTGTTTGGGACGTTTTGCCATAGCGCATGTCCCAAAGGAGTTTCGTCATCTGTACATTAGAACGTAGAGATCAGTTTCTTGCGATCAGACCATGACAGAATAGATTTGTTCACTAGAGTTCTCGGTGGAGGGGGGGGGTAAACAACACTGGTTGACTGAGTTCTAACATAAAAGTTCAATGTATATGAGAGATTGCACAAAAAATGAATGCATCAGTGGCACCGATAACAATTTTGAGCCTCGACCGACAACTGCTACCTTACCGTAGTGTTTGTAATGGTAGGCCTTGCATATCACAATCACCACTTGATGAGCTACCCTGGCTGAAACTAATGTCAGCCATCAGAAATGTCGTTCGAATAGCAGTTAGACACTAAAAGCAGTTACCGCCCCATAATGTAAGTCAGTTACACTATGTTGGTGAGTAGGGACGTAGCTACAGTAAAGTGCTCCCCTCAAATGGCCAGGAAGCCAATTATGTTGCCTCTCCACTCTGGTGAGAGTTGAGTGGTGGGGTTAGAATAGGTCAACCCCGGTGACTGTCATCCCAGCTTACCTTACAGTGGTCCATAGCTGGAGGTAAGCTCTTACTTAGTACGGACGAAATGCTAAAATTCACTTCAAACTTCTGGTTGTATGCGACTGACCTCAAACTAGTTCTCGCTAGGCTGTACGGATTTTATGTTTCCCCTCTGCCTCACCACAAAAAAGAAATCAACTACCATGGTGTTATGGGCAGCCGGTAAGTAACAACCTGCCCCCCCCACATTTCCCCAACACATACAAGACTTTCTTGACCTGCCTCTATCCCACCTAAACACCTACCTCCATCATTTTTGTCATCTTGCAAGAAGGAAACAAGCTTTCAACAGAATATTACATTTTATTACATAGTCACACACACCGGAGGAAAGAGCAAAGAGATGTGAAGTGTTAGCCAATATTCATGAATAATGATGACAATATGAGGCGGAGGTAAGAGTAAAAAAACTGTTTTGAAAAAATATTTGTACATTCACAATCCTATTTACATATTTTTATCTGTAATATGTCTTTTTCTAAGGTAAATGATAAATTGGTTGAGTAATTTTAACAGTAGTACTGGAACGATGCTGTTTTATTGGCACCCGATCGATATGATTACGTATGAAATGGAAGGCTGGAACTACCCATGTCCCACAGACACATGGTTCCCCTAAAGAGAATGGGAAAATAAATAGAGAAGAAACGCAGTTAATAGCAACATAGGAAATGTTCAAGAGTAGGTAAGTGCCATAACGATTAACCGTGAGTATGCTGACTAATTCATTAACTCAGTTTTTTGGGAAGCAGTATCAGCCTCTCGATGAACTGATTGATTACTGAAGAGATCGATCTCAGCTCGAATACAAAAGGATTATCTGAAACTCCCCACTCAGATGAGACATCCGCCTACAGATTAAAGGAAGGTGTGTACTGCATGCAGCAACAGTTTTCACCGTCCCCGTTTTGATGGCTATGACACATGGTCACTGAAATTGGAAGATATGCTGACTAACCGTCTATGATCACAAATTTTTTCGTTGTCTCTCGTGTCATGTAGTATAATATGGTGAGTAATAATATTGAGGTTAGGCGTAGAGTTTTAGGTAAGGAGAAAATGCTAAGTCATTGATCTGTTCGTTAAACGTTGTCAGTTGACAGAGAATTGGGTTGGAAAAGAGTTAAATGAAACTGGCCAAATCAAAACCTGTTATCGATTCATAATGTATTTGACCATTGTTGGTCTCGACTGACCAGGTAGGGTGTGTATGCAGACTACCTGACTAGTATACTCAAGACTTTGACTGAAGACTAACTAGTGTCGTGCGTTTAGTCCTTTGTTTGGTGCAGACTGAATTCTGTTAGTCAAGTTTGCAATGTGGACACCATGATGAGTGCTGGCTCGCCATCACAGTGCACTCTGAATTCTTGTCATTCCTTGATGATTGGAGACAATCGGCAGGAAGCTCAACTAACCCTATCTAGATTATGTGCTTGTTGGCACTGACCAGTCAGTCAGCAAGGTGTATCTGCACTGCAACCATGTTGAAGCAACTCATGTGCCTTACTTTGAGATTCGAAGCCGACCGAGTGAAGCAGTGCTGCTATCAATCAGAGACGTGAGTCACCGCTGAGGTATTTGAGCTCAGCTTTGACCTCTTGTAGGACTGTAATGGATACTTTGATTAAATATTTAACTGGTGTCACGCTCCTAGTCCTTTGGGTGCAGCAGATATAACTGCAGCATTGGGTGACACAGGTTCGAGCCTCAGAAGGGACATGAATTCCTTCAAGATTGCAGATACGCCTAGCTGATGAGTGCCAAGAAGCACGAAACCTAGGTCACAAGCTTCCTGCTGATTGCCCCCAACCATAAAATACTCAAGATTATTGGTGATTTTTATCGATTGCCGTAGATGCATCCATTCTTTCTGAACTCCCAAATTTTTAAATTCTCATTATTCGTCATGGTATCATTGAGTCTTGAACTTTTGTGCTCTAGTACAAATTTCTACGTCGAAACCTATGCTCAATTCAGCTGAGCTAAGCTCATATAAAGCAGAGCCTAACAACGAGTAATAGTGACGTTAGATATAAAAAGATATAAAAGACAAGTCAAACGATGAGATAGTAAATCTCTAAAAATTGACTAAGGTAGTCGGAATATATGTTATGTATGTCAGAGCTTTCAGAGGAACATAGGCAGGTATACCATCAGGGCCAAGGCTACGTGAGGGCTTGAGCATTTTAAGACATTTTTAGAACATCGAGAGTATTAAAGTCATGAAAGTTTTCAGCTACATGATAGGTAACATTAGGGGTAGTAAAGGAAACAATAATAATAATATGTCAAGGCACTGTCCCCCTTTCTTCAAAACAGGCCATGATAACTACAGTAGCATTAATTTGCAAAAATCTTAGGGATCGCCACACCGAACTACGATATTTCATGTTGGTCAGCTCAAGACTGATGACTAACTGACTTCATTTAGAGTACCACCGAAACCCTCACTGGACAGCTGTTTCATCGTTGTTTGACTCTTTCTAGCCGTACGCATCCATGATGCCATACCACCAAGGATCGAACCACCCAGAATCTTCGGGTTACAAGGCAAGGTCGTATACCATTGGGCCACTGGAAGGACGGAATCCAGTCCAGGTCCATCAATCCTAACTTCTGCCGATTCGCAATATATATATATATATATATATATATATGAAGTGCGATCACGGCCAACTAAAGCCACCGAAAACTTGCTGAACCCCGCTGCTATTCACGCTATATATCCTGAAGTGGAAGAAATTAGAACACATAGGTCGGTCCCAGTGGCTGAATAATCAACGAGCTCGCCTTGTAACTTGAGGATCCTCGGTGATTCCATTGTTAGTTTTCCTGGATTCATGGATGCGTGTGGCTGAAAAAGTAGCACACTAGACTGACGAAACAGTTTTTCCGTGATTTGCTAACTGAAGTCAGTTGGTGATCGATGCTGAAATCAACAAATTCCCAACAAAATAACACTTGAAAATACGATTTTATTCAGATACAGGGTTACAAACTACTGAATAACAGATACGAGTAGTTGGATATTTATGATGAGAATATTTTTACTTGTACAGTTATAAGAATAAACTTACCACACCAATTGAAAGAACCAACTTTAGCATTGCACCCAGGACAATAGAGCTGAAACAATAGGAAAGGAAGGAAAAAACTTGGGTATCTTTAGCATTTATTGAATCAAAAACTTGGTACAAATTATGGGCACCACCAAGAGACAGGGCATACAAATTTATCATCTTTTAGTTTGTACGAGGACTGGGATACTGACCGCTCGTACGATGCCCACACTGAAGTAGGTAGTATTTGTCTTGAGGGCCACTCTCCCTCCCCCGTGCAAGTCTTTGACTTGAAGTTTGATTTACAAGGCAGTATAGTGAAGCAGCGTCAGGAGCTGCCACGTCCCCAATGTTGTTGGGGTCCAAAACAGCTTCATACACGCCATTCAATCTGTTCGGATACTAAAACACATTTAGACACCCCGTCGGTGGCGGAATGAAGGTTTTCCAGGACTATCAGCAAGTACTTCTGGACAGTAGACCAGCATGTGCAAGAGTCCAGTTGTAAGTGTAAGAATTGGAAACATTTATTTCCCGATACGAATTTAAAACAAGCAATAAAGGTTAATAAAGCAGGATTTAATGAATTCATCAAATTTCGGTAGAACTCGTCAGCTGAATACTCTACATACACGGATATATACTTTTGAAGTTACATTGGGAGATATAGGACTGAAGGAGATTGTCTACTCGCATGATGGAGCATTTACCAAAATGGTTGAAAACAGCTGAGTTCAAAGTGCCAAAATCCTCAATAACAAAGCATCTTGTGGATTACGGGCATGATATCGACGCGGTCAAGTCATTCACCATTGTCAGCAGACAAAGAAACAAGAAGATGCTTGCAATTGCAGAGGCTTGTGCAATTCGAGTTTATAAACCAGGTCTCTGTGTACAAAAAGAGATGGTCGTGACTCTGAATCTACCATGGTAATACGTTTTACTTATAATTCTACCTCTTATTATTATTATTTTTATTATTACTATTATTATTCTCATTATTATTATTCTTGATTCATTTAAAACTATCCTTTATCAGTAGCATTATCTTAACTCACTTCAACACTATTATTATTATTGTTATTATAACTATTACTGTTGACATCCCTCTGGTTGCAATTCTTGTTAAATTCTCTAATGTCTAATTGTTTATCTATGTGGTGTAATTGAAGCGTAATGCAATTTATCTTAATTTTGATCTCCCATACTCTCTCTCCCCTTATCTAATTGCACATGACCTGGAAAAACATTCGCACCTGTCTTTCTGCATGACTAATTCAATGTAGTTTATTTACTTATCAGTCCTATATCTCCCAATGTAATTTCAAAACTATATATATCCGTGTATGTAAAGTATTCAGTCCTATATCTCCCAATGTAACTTCAAAAGTATATATCCGTGTATGTAGAGTATTCAGCTGACGAGTTCTACCGAAATTTGATGAATTCATTAAATCCTGCTTTATTAACCTTTATTGCTTGTAAGTGTAAGACTTTCACACTCGCCCTCTCACTTTTAAGGAATACCCTTCCTCACCTCTGTGTGAAGGTAGTGAGTACGACAACTTAAGTGACGGTAAGGAGGCTACCTGGAGGTGACGTTAAGAGAACACCTCCTAACCAAATTCACCCTTTTTCAATGAACGACAAGTCTTATTACATCTGTGACAGTAACACAGTAGACTTCAGGGTTAAACCATATTAACAACTCCCCATCGACAACGGACTCCCAGAAACCTAACCTGGCTGGCGATAGGAGCGGAAAAGAGGAGACTGACGGGGCCAACAACTTCACCGTGAGAGGTTGCAAACATTAGACGCATCTGCATCACTGAGTAATTTTAAGCAATCTTACCAATAATTTGCAGCAATTAGTATTTAACGTTTCGTGAGAACAAAAACAGGCGGGCAGTCTACACTGCTAGCCCAAACCAAAAGTCAAATACCTAATGGAATGACTTTACGTCTCGATTTGACTATCCCTACCTAATCCTATATCAGTTAACATTATTCAATGAGGACGGCGATGGCTTGGCCTGTGTACTACATGTTCTAGCCATTTCATCCCATGCATAGCTTCACAATCTCGATTGGTTCCCCCCACCATTACCTATCAGTCTACGCTTAACCTTAATATTATCTAACATATTATACCACCTAACACGAAGGTCACAGTTAAGAGTCATAAAGGAGGACAAAGAGAACTATTCCCAAACAGTATATATATATATATCTTTTGATCGATAGGTGGACAACAGAGATAACATAAGTTGTTGTCAAATGTCACAAAAGCTTTTTGTCGTCTCCGTGCTCAGATTTCGTCAGTAATCGATCAGTCAGTCCATGAGGGCTGATGCAACTCCCCAGATAAATGAGTGATAAGGCTAACACACTCTACAACTTCATTTTTGCCTATCTTGAAGCCAGAAGTTAATGTAGCCCAGTGCTGCAGAATCACCTTACACATTTGACAGAAGCAAATCGCACGCTAAACATTCGAATCTTGTTAGCATCTTCTCGTAGGAGGACAATACCATCCACATACTCTACTTTGACAAGACTGTTCAATCCTGCCCTTAATATATCTATGATGAAATTAAACCAAAGTAGGAGATAGTGAACATACCTAACAGACACCACTGGCTGCCATCATCACTTGAAATGACAACAACACCCCATCAAGCTCTTACATGGCTGCAAATACCTATGATCGATGACAGCTGCTAATCCATTTAAAGGTGTCTTCCAATTTCAAAACATGCAGACAAATAAAATATTATCCAAAATTAATAACTTTTCAACTTACCTTGCCTTCAACTTCACTTGTAAATTGTTGTGTCCAATCTAATGGATCACAGAATAACTCGTCTTTATCACATTGTACAGGTGGATCATTGAGTGTAATACCACTGATCAGGACACTTGACACTTTGACACCATCTTCAACATCACTACCTGTACTAGACTTTGATGATAAGTTGCTGAAGTTAATGTTGGGCGTCTTTCCAGGTTTTTGATGAGCACGTAATTGATTTGAGTTGAATAATACACGTCTATGTAGAAACACACAGAAAAATAAAGTGATACAATAATATACGTTAATGGAAACAAGACAATAGCAGGTTGTAGTGTTCAGCGAAGAAGAGGTTTCTCTTTTCGCGCCGAATTTATTTTCCATCCTTTAACTGTACAATCACATTGTCTTTGGCGGATTACTGTTTTTCGCTTTGTAGATTACTTTGAAGTTTATTGAGGAAATATTCATTTAAACATCTATAAAACACAAAATAATTGAACAAAGAATATCCTTTTCGATAAATTCCTCTTCTGGCTCTACAATTATATGTTTATATACATAGAATATTAAACGGTTGCTGAGTGAAAATGGTTATCCAGAAAAGTTTATTGATAAGAATATGAACCTAAAATCAAAGCAACCCAAGGTACCAACAGTTCCAAAAGAGCCTTATTCTTACAAATGCAGTACCTTGGCGACAACATCAGCGAGATACTAATACAGCGCCTTAGAAATGCGGTAAAATATTCCCTGCCGCCGAATTACGCTGTGTCTTCAAAACCACTCCTCTTTTGCGTTCGACAGTAAAAGACAAACTGCCTAATTTCGCCTCTTCCATGTGTATCTACCAATTTAACTGCTCCTGTGGAGCCAGTTACATAGGCCGTAAAATTAGGCGTGTTTCTCGTCGAATTTCCGAGCATCACCCTGTGTGGTTAAGCAAAGGACAAACAAAATCTATTCGCAGCGCTATTCTGTCTCATCTTGTGGATATAGAACACCTAATGGCAATATACTTGTACTGAAAATACGGTGTGGAGTCAAGCTGTAACAAAAAAAAAAAAGGCTTTCAGGGTCATTTACTCCACTCCAACAAATCTCAATTTCGCCTTAAGAGTTCGACTACTAAATATTGCTGAGGCTGTTGGGATCCAGATTAAGAAGTCTAATTTGTGAATCCAAAAGAAGTTAATTCAGACATTATCCTTACCTTGGCCATCCAGGTTTGAATGATCCTGATTTTTTGTGGAATTTTCATAGTTTTAGTTGATATTCTTTTTGCTTTATTTTTATTATTATTATAATTCAGGCATCTTTGATGAAATGTAATTCCATTGTGATCTTACTTTACAAATCGATATTATTTTAAAAAAACACTAATATTGTTATTGACTACTGATCTAGAATATTCTATGTATATAAACATATATATATATAAGTGTAGCGCCAGAAGAGGAATTTATCGAAAAGGATATTCTTTGCTCAATTATTTTGTGTTTTATTGAGGAAGTGGAATGACTAGTGTTGATAAGGTGTTCACTTGTCACACTCCTTATAGAACCACTCCCACCTTTCTGCAACTGTGCACGAGATAGTGTTCTTGAACTATTCTTCTAGACAGAATACGTGTTGAACGACCGAAATACCTTGAACCATAGAAACAGGTGAAGTGATATATACATATATGCATATATAAATAGTCAGATGAGAAATCCTGTCTTGTATGGAGAATACTACTCTTCGCGTTACGGCAAAGAATGTTCTTCTCATAAGAAATGTTGGAATTCTTCTCTTAAAGACATCGTAAGTTAAGTCTCCCTTGAAATTAAGGTTCATATTTGGCAGAAATAACATTTCGATTCCCTGAACTTTTCGTAGGTTTGATGGTCTTGTCAATGAATCTCGGTAGGTATCATCATTCAGAGATAGAAGAACCAGAGCTGAGCATGAATTCAAAAAAAAAATTATTCAGCCACTTCTGCAATCATGGTAACAACCCTATTGTTTTCTATCAACTTGATTTTTTAACCTCTTATATTTCCTTTGTTCCTATTGTGCATACTGATTGTAACTCATATTAGATTATTTTATCTCATTACTTACTGAATAACTCTAACACCCTTCCATATTCAATTTCTGGTATCTATTGAATTAATAATAGTATTAACAAATATGACTTTTTCCTTAACAGTTAGTGTGTAAGGATTTCATTGGTTTCAAATTTGACCACGGAATGATGTCAGTTAAATGTTCAGGATTCGAATCGCGGCGGGTGAGTACTGTTGAACAGTCCCAAATTGGAATGGAACAGCTGTCTATTACTCTCTGGTGGTTTTCAATGGTTCTCTGACTGAAGTCAATCCATAGTCAAACTTGAAACTATGATTACGACAACTCATCACACTTTTGGTACTACCCTCTTTCGGATTATGGGATTTATGGGGCATTTTGAATTCATTTCAATTCTTTGAATTTTGGCACGAACCAACGGGATCAGTTACAGGGATCTAATTAAGAACCAACCGGGAGCATACTGGACCTTTTTTTGGGTCCTTACAGCCCCCGCATGATGATTTTCCATGATCGTCCTGTGATGGAATCTAAAAACGGAAAGTACCCTCTTTTGTGAAAAAAGAGATTGTATCTAAATAATATTGTACAAACTAAAGAGTGCCTTCTTTGCTGAACACTACTTGTTTTGTCTTCTGTTTTCGTTAATGCTTGAATGAGGATTACTCATGAACAATGAACACATTGAGAATTACCTGCATTTTTTACATTTAAACGTTGATGGTATACAAGACAATTGATGACTGACTGCCTGACTGCTATTGATGCTGCTGGTCAAATGATCACTGTTTTGATCTATTTTTTCAACAAAACAAATTAATGGTTTTTATTATTCTCATACAAACCTTGATATGCGGAGAATTTTTTTCGCATTGTATATTGATGAAACAAGGGGGAATTTTGGTCTACCTTCCATTTCATTGTATGAAATAGTTTGAGTTGATTGATGAATCCATTATTGGGGCTTAAGATAGAAAACAAATGCAAAATAATAATTATAATAGATATATTTACTACAACTGTAAAAAAAACGATCAAGTGTAAGTAAGAGTGATTGATAATATAAGGAACACAAGCCGTTCAGTGACGAGACTGTTTTCAACGAATATGACTGACTGACTGACTGATTTCAGCATAGAACTTTGCACAAAAGTGCACCAGCAGCCTTATAACTTGTCACAGTCCATGTAACACAGACACGTAAGGAAAAAAAGAGAGATTCAAGAGGACTCCAATTAAACAGATATGCAAGTGAGAAAGAAAGAATAGTAACATCAAAAAACATGATAGTTCAATGAATATAGGAGATTTCACAAAGAGTGAATCTGCATCTCTGTGCCGTTGAGAACGATTTTGAGCCATTGGTTCTTACAATCCAAAGGACTACCACCAGCCAGGCATTCTACGTTTAACTCCCTACATAACTGGCTCATATCAACTGGCAATTACTTTATGGATTGACTCCAAGTTATGATATGACCACTCCCAATTAATAAATACTGTATAATGTATCCGGAAAAAAACGTAAACACCTCACCCTAATTTACAAATTAAAAATATTTATTTCGTTCATAATGATCAACCCTACACTGTAACGGAGATACACATTGGGATAAAGAGGATGAAGCAACAAGGAACTCTGGAAGGGCAGCGAACCTACCAATAACCAGTCGTCCAACAAGTATTCAGAAAAATGTCTAAATTGGACTGGACATACACTGAGAGGAACATTTAGTGTAATCTTTCTCCTGGACTTAGGGTAGACCCCAAATTGAAAAAGATGAGTTCAGCATGGCTCTGAGGTTGATAAGGAAAATGTCATGTAGTGAGGAGGAAATCATGGAACCATCTAAAAATGACTGCAGGCAACAGGATGGCATGAAGATGCGCCATGAACCTTTATGCTCCACTTAGAAGCCTAGGGAATAATAGCTTATAATACAAATGATGATCTCTAGTCTGTCAAACTTAAGTCTCAATCTTAATATACACAAATTACATGTGTGTGACTGACTGAGTGTAAACAAAGGACTATGCACAAAAGCAAAATCGTTCAAGTTGCAACATTTCATGTAGCACACAAAGCAAGGCGAAACAGAAAATAAACAGTCGAAGAAACGGTAAAAAGCAGAAATTTGAGGGAGAAAGGATAGTGACATGGAGAAACAATAGGGTTTTAATGGACATGGCTGCTCACAAAGTGTGAATTCATCTGAGTTATGAATGAGAAGGAGGAATTTGAGGCATATGACCACCCATCGTTCGTCATTGGATCTTCGAATCTCGAGGACTGCAACCAGTCAGGCAGTCTACACATCCCTACGTGGCTAGCTTGCTGGCTGGCTGACTGGCTGAAACCAACTGTCGGATATTTGATTGACTGATACCAGCCAAGTTTTGGTCTGACCATCATCACTAGTGCTTTTCCAACCTGATCGTATCTATGTCAGCTAGCTAACATAGGTTGTCGAGGAAGGCGATAGCTAGGCATGCATAGCACATGCCCTAGGCATCATCTCAATATTATTCAGTCTATTATACCAGCTGAAATGGGAGATAGAATGCAGACACACGTATGATGAAAGACAGCTAGCCAGCTTTTTCATGTCTTCCACATTCAATGGCCGTGTGTTACTCACTGCCATAAAGGAGGACGGAGCGAACTGCTGCTCGTCTGAAGTACACAACTTTAGTCCATAGCCAAATACTACACGTCTACGCCAGCCAGATATGACATAAATTGGCAAATGTCACACGAGCCAGTCATTCGTATCCGTGCTGAGATTTCGTCAGCAATCAGTCAATTGATTAGAACGGATGGCACTTCCTGAATCAGTGAAGTGGTGGTCAACACACTCTACCACTTGGCTCCCTATCAACGAATTTATTATTCAAGCTGTACAGTCGTATATATATATATACATGATTTTTAAGAAATTCAAACAAACGATGTGCGAATACTAAAAATAATAATAAAAAGAGTGGCAAATACGAGAAAAGAAACTTAAATCAATCCCTTCTGCTTTGCTATATAGGATATGCAATACATTTGTCTTCTGACTGTTTGACTCAGAACTTGGTGTTTGCTAAGAGCCACACATACAGCAGAAAACGAGGTTACTCAAACCGATCCACTGACCAATAAAAGCACGAAAGAATACTGGTCACTGACAGTACCAAAATGAAAGCTATGGATTCATGAATTTAGAAATCCAATGACCAGCAGGCTCCATAGAGATATGCTCAGAAATTATCTTTCTAAGTCAGTCAGTAAGACGTCCTTTTTGTGGCGAAACTGCACTTGACTTTCATCAACTGTGGGTTGTTCTCCGTCTCTGTTGAAGATCAGCTCCCTCCATCAGTGGTATCCCTCCTCTTGTGGAGTAAGGTGGTATACCAACTGCATCCAGAGAGTGCTTTCCACATACGCATGGCTACGAGAGCACATTTCAGCATGGTTTTACAAGGGAGAAAGGAACGATGGTACGTGAAGCTCTATTCATTCTGGGACACTTGATCGACTTAAGTCACACCGGCAGCCCTGATAGACTGGCTGATCGATTTATTGATTGATTTCAAATTTTCAGCACGAATACAAAATACTAGTGTGAGATTTGTGAATTACTTACCTCATCCTTGGCTACTGATCAAAGGAAATGTTCACTGAATAGCAGTAGTTTGCTCCGTTTTTCATGCATGTGATGTACAGTCATGTACGAAAAGACTAGTTGTCTCTGATCACAAGTGTTTGTGTTCCATCTACTATATCAAATGGTTAGATAAGGCTTAGTGTCAGGTAAGGAAGGGAAGTCGATCGATGAGACTGAAGCTACATTGATAAAAGAGATGACTAGGACAAGTGTGTCTCACACCGAGCCACCAATTTACACGACGCGCAATGTTAGCTGACATAGTATTAGTTTGGAAAATAGGTTGTGGTGATGAAACATAGGCTTGGAATCAGTCCATGAAACCCTTGACAGTTAATTTAAGCCAGCCACGTAGGGAGATGTAGACTGGTTGGCTGTGTTTGGGGTCCTCGGGATCATAAGAACCAATGGCTGGAGACAATTGGTAATATGACTTAAAATCGTTTTCAATGGTGCAGATGCATTCACTCTTTATGATTTATAATATCCAGTAAAAATGTATTGTCCTTCCACATTACTATTCTTGTCGCCTCATATTTCTGCTTTGATTATCTCTCTTTTGAATCTTTCTTTATTCTCTTCTTTAGCTTTTTGTGCTATATGGGGTGCGGCAAATAGAAATGCTGCATATCTGTGCAAAGTTCTATGTTGAAACCAGTCAGTCAGTGTCTGAAACTGAACATCCAATTTACTATTCGGAACCCTCTCCTTGTATTTTTCTTGGGGGTGGGGGAAAAGGAATTTCATGAGAATTTATGCTCATACCAGTCACTAAACATGAGAAAATTTAACCGGAGTGTTGTTTAGTTCCATAATGGATAAGATTTTATTTTGATAAATCACACAGTGTTGTACAGTTATATTAACTGATGACGTTTCGAGCACAAACTATTGCTCATAATCATATCAACCGGAGTGTTGTTTGTTTGAATGGAGACAGGCAAATATCAAAACAGGCCTTGTTGAAACCTATTTTACAATGTGTAAATAAACAGTAACTTATTACCAGCATTATTACTGCATACATTATTTTTTATTAACTTTAATTATTTTGCAGTTTCTTTATTTTCACTATTTTATTTATTTACTTTAACTAAAACACAGACTTGGTATACATTATGGGAACCAAGAGGTGCACCACATAAAATCTCATAGTTTGTGCACGAGGGCAGGGATGCATAGACCCAAGCAGATAGTTGTCTTAAGGAGCCACTCTCCCACCCGAAGCCTTTGATTCGAAGTCTGACCCACAAGACAGTTTAGTGAAGCACCGTCAGGAATTGCTACGTTCTCACAGTTGCCAGTGACTGAAACACGTCCACCACACACCATTCGATCCCTTCGGGTTCTGAAGCCCATGTAAACACCACTGGTTCGGCATCAGGATTTCCTAGCTCCCCTACGTAGACCTATATATGCACTCGTTACAAGCACCTTCATCCTTTCACCTTTGTGAGGAATACCAATCATATCGCGTGAAGGAGGCAAATATGATAACTTACCTGACGGCAGAGACTATGAACGCGTGGTCAAACGACAGCATTTCAGGAGAGTGAGGAAGGCTGAAGTCTACACACCCTCGGTTATACTAGGTAGTTTGTGAAGCCATTCTAAACAATAATTTTTATATAAAATGGAATTTTCAACATTCTCTACATATATTTCAATAATTTATTTTCTTTTACAAATAAGAACTGGTAGGGCCATGAGTGGATAGATTTTCGTCTTTTTCTCCCTTTGCATTCATCACAAAAGTGATTTAGCGAATGCAAACATTTGGCGCTTACAACTGAGCTAGTTGGTGGACATGCTGGTCTACGTACCTACCTAGGAGAGCTGGAAAATCATGATTGATTTCACCACCTACGACTGACTGACAGATTGACTCACCACCTACGGTATGTACATGGCCTGTAGAATCTGGACGGATAGAATGGCATATGATGAGCCTGTTTTAGTCAACGGAAACCATGGGAACACAGTTCGTGACGGTATTCGACTGCGGATCAGACCTCAAGTTAAGGGCTCCACGGGGGGGGGGGGGGGTAAGCTTTTAAGACAACCACCCAATTCGGTTTGGACAGTATCTCGGCCTTTGTATCTCTTACTGGTGTATTTAATGTACCAACAGTTTGAGTTTTAATGGTAATAATTAAAATTGAATGGAATAAAGTGATTATTATTAGCATTAAAACAAGCTTACAAGACGCTTCGTTTTCTATTGACAATTGTATAAGCCTCATCATAAGATAAGCAATTCTGTCGCATAATGTAAGCGATGACAACACTTGCACTACGTGACACTCCCATAGCACTAAAAAGAAGCATTTTAAATTTTATTCCTTTCAATTATTCTTACCAATGCACTAAGATGCTCGACTGTTTTATACTACGCTCGATAAAAGTTAATGCATCTTCAAGTATATCCAACAAGTCCTGTGTAGGTTCATCACGAAGATAGATATACTTCCTATTGAATTCTTTAAAGACAACAGGATCCAACGGTAAAATATCCAACGTGAGAATTGATAATATTCCATGTTTTTTCAGCGTGGGAATATTTTCTGAAAATGGCATTGGACCAAGCCATAAATTTGGGATAATTTCATCCATATTTTGAGGAAAGCCGAATGCTCTGAAGAAAAAATGAAATAAGTTGAAAAGATCAAGGCATCTGTAATCTGTGGTATTTTGAAAGGACAATGTGAATAATAACAAGATCACAAATGAGGTCACTCACAGACAGACTGAGTTTCAACTATGCACAAAAGTACACCAGCCACTCAAATTGCCAAAGAAACATGGAAAAACACGAAAACTTAGTATATATTGGAGATCCCAATGAGTGAATACTTCTACGCCACTGACAGTCATTGGTTCTTAGCATCCCAAAGACTCTAACAAGGCACTTTACACCTGCATATGTGATTGGTTAGAACCAACACTCAGAATTCGTAGATTGATTCGATGTTTTCGTTTCACTAACCTTAACTCTTCCAAGCTAATTCTATATGGCTAACACAGATCGTCGAGGAAGGTAGCAGCTTGACATGTTTAACACAATGTAGCTTCACAACCATATCGATTGACTTCCCTTACTTACCTAACAATTTACGTCTACAACCTCGAAATCGCTCACCCTATTATACTGATTAACACAGGACACAGGAGGCACATACAGCTAGCCAGCACTTTCATATCTTCTACTTTCAATAACGTCCATGTCTCGCTCATAGCCACACAAACAAAGACAGACAGCTGCTGCTGTTGTGTAGTACACGCGTTCACTGATCAACAGATGGATATTGCATCTACGGCAGAAATGCGATAATTAATGACACCTGTAATGATTTCAGTTATTTTTATTGTCAATATGCCCTGAGGTTTGAATCAGATTTCATCTGATTTTGTCTACGTAACTAAGGTAATATTGTAACAAAAGAAGACAAGAGTCAGGCAACAGATCGTTTATTAAGGAAAATCAACAAATATTTATAGATTTTAATGTACATTATTGTAGATTATTGTTAGTAGAAAATACAGTCTTTTGATTGGTTGTTACTCACAGAAAGTTAACCTTGTATCTCTTTGTGGCTGTGTCAGATCATCCATAAGCTAACTGTATCCGCCTAGGCAAAGCCTTTGTTCTCATTTTCTCACCACCAATATTGGGGACATAGACATTGACGTCAATTACTGTCTACCAACTTTGGCTAGCAGCCAGCTCTCACCACTATATCAATAACCCCACAGATAATAAATGTGACTTACAGCTAGACAGCTGACTTTTAACAACATTGTCATTATTAAAACAGGTTTCCCTGCGCCGCCTACATGATTAAAGTAGGGGTTTTCAGATATTTTCTCTTATTCCTTTGAGTTTCAAGTAGAATATAAGGCTTCAGGGTTGAGCTTAGAAGTTTCGGTAGCAATGGCTGCATTTTTACAGGATGGGGTTGCTAGCCTCACGCCTAACCTTCCCTCTATGTCGGGTTCAATAACAACCTAGCGAGGTTTAGGAGTGCATCGGCTCCTCGAATCGAACCCTGGACCACGTACGTGGTTGGTGATCATTATATCACTGAAATACAGACTCAGTGGCTGAATGATCTACGAGCTTGCCTTGTGACCTGAAGGTTCTGAATTCGAACCCTGGGGTGTGTACTGATGAAAAGTCCCGAACAGCTGTCTAGTTTTCAGATATAAATATATAAATAAAGCTCTCACTACCTGCTGAAATACCTAAAACAGAAGGTGGAGTATTAGTAATTTTGAGTAACGGCAGAGCCCCGGGTTGCACAACAGCTTGATGTTGATCAAGCTCACACATAGCCTGTTTGAAGTGATTTTTGAAGTTGCGCGTCCACACAAAATCTTATCACCAACTGTACACCACTGTAACGTAAGCTGGGACGCGCAATTTTAGAGATCGACCTTATAACCTCCGAAGGGTTGTCCAGAACTGAAAAGCAGAATAATTGGCTTGCCGGTGGTTTGAGGGGAACACCGTAATACTGCCACATGTGATCCTTAGTTGTAAAACTCCATCCTTCGACCATGGACATAGTGCAAACGACTAACACTACGACCGAAAGCTGCTACCTTGACGTGGTGGTCGGGCTTGAACACTGCAATGACCCAACAAGCTATACTGGCTGGAACTTATGTTCCTGCAGGTCCTACCATGCCAGAAAGGTTGTTTGGATAGCAGTTAGACTAAAAGCAGTTACCCAATCCAATCCTATGATTTCAAATACATCAGAAAATATCATGCCGGATCGGTCGGGGCCCGGATTAACAACGACCGCGCTTTCTGCTGCCGTATTACAGGACAGGAGTGATAAATCTGCTACTGAGACACACCAAATAAAAAATAACAAACAAAAACAGACCGTGCGTGACCGGCCTCAAGCAGTTGTCCCCTGGGCTCTGCGGTCATGCAACCAACTTCCACGGTGTGGGCAGCCGGGAAGTAACAATCGCCCTCACAATCCGAAGTGCACGCGAAACCCCTCTAATCCTCGCTCATCTTTGTCTTCATCTTCATCTCTATTATCTTGCCTTCCTTCTACCAATGCAACTCCTCTACTTGATGGCTCTTCACTTCCTCTTCAATCTGTGTGCACTGACAACGATGGAAGCCAAAAAGCCACCATCGATGGTCTCCTAAAACCACGCCACCAATTTTATGTAGGAGCATTTAATGTTAGGACACTTTGCCAAATAGGACAACAAGCATCACTAGCCAAGACTCTGGCATCCCGAGCCATTGATGTATGTTGTGTTTCAGAAACACGCATACAAGACCCAAGTGTGGTTATTCACCTAACCCCACCTGGCCAACAGGATGAATCTGCAAAATTCACCTTGAGGGTGTCAGGAGATGCGACGGCTAGCTCACGAGGATTAGCTGGTGTTGGGATAGCTTTAAGTACTAGAGCAGAAAAGACATTACTTGACTGGATCCCGGTAGATAGCCGAATGTGCGCTGTCCGCCTGAACGGATCAGTGAATAGGAGAAAGGACTGCACTACTCGCCGATGCCTTTTCGTAATCTCCGCCTACGCCCCCACTGACTGCAGTTCGGATGAAACGAAGGATGAGTTCTACCAAAAGCTGTCTAGTTTGCTGCGAAAGGCTAGACGCTCAGATATAGTCGTTTTAGCTGGTGACTTTAATGCTCAAGTAGGGAAATTGTGTCAATCTGAGAAGAATGTTGGTGGCACATACGGAATTCCGTGCCAGCGAACCGACAACGGTGACCGTCTCCTACAGTTCTGTTCAGATAATCATTTGTATCTTGTAAGCACTAACTTCAAACACAAGGAGAGACACTGTTTGACCTGGCGACCCCCATCATCAATTCAACGCTGGACACAAATAGACCACATAGCAATAAGCTATCGTTGGCGTGGGTCGGTAGGAGATTGTCGCTCCTTCTGGAACACGTGTGTAGATACCGATCACGCACTGGTCCGCGCTCGTGTGTGCTTACGACTGAACGGACGTAGGAAACAGCTGGCGGTAAACCCATCACGTCCCCAGCTCGACCAGGGAACTAAGTCCCTATTTGAGGAAGAACTAGCTAAACACATATCTGAGTTTGACAGCTGCGCTCACCCTGAAGAAGCCTGGAAGAATATTCAGTCAGCCATAGATACAGCTGTAAAAGTTGTGAATAAGGTAAATCCAAAGGTGAGTAAAAACCATTGGATTTCGACTACCTCATCCGAACTGATAGATGCTAGAAGACTTATTCCGGCGAGCTCCGAATTCAATGAGGAGCGAAAGCTGCACAAAAAGAAACTTACGAAAAGTCTCCGCAAGGACCGTGAACAGTGGTGGTTGACAAAGGCGAAAGAGATGGAAAAAGCATCGGCGATAGGCAACACCAGGCAACTATTCAGGCTTATCAGGGAAACAGGTGGTAAAAAACAAATGATAAGCGAAACAATCTCCGAGAAAAATGGCACCATAATTAGCTCCCAGGATAGACGTCTGGAGCGCTGGAAAGAACACTATGAGGAGCAGTTTAATTGGCCCACAGCCACACTTAACCTACCGGACATCCAACACCTCCCCGAATGAGAGATAGACACAGGTCCTCCGTCCTTAACCGAGGTTACTAAAGCTGTCACCAATCTGAAGCAAGGCAAAGCAGCGGGACCTGATTTATTGACTCCAGAGGTATTTAAGTACGGAGGCGACAGTTTACTGTCTGCGTTAACGGAGGTTCTAGGCAGCGTCTGGGAATCAGAGGAAGTCCCATCGGGTTGGTGTAAGTCACTGCTCATCCCGATATACAAGAAGGGGGACAAGTCGTCTTGTGATAATCACAGAGGGATTAGCTTGACTAATATAGTATCTAAAATCCTAGGCTCAATAATACTGCGTAGATTAAGTGGTGCTCGGGAGACACAAACACGAGAAAACCAGGCAGGTTTTAGGCCAGGTAGAGGGTGTATTGATCACATCTTCACCCTTCGACAGATTCTAGAACATAGGCATTCCTACCGGCGTCCGACAATCATTATATTTCTTGACCTAAAGGCGGCTTTCGATTCTGTCGACCGGGAGGTTCTCTGGCGATGCTTGGCTGTAAAGGGAATACCAAGAAAATACATTGCACTGATTAAGGCACTCTACTCGTACTCATGCAGCCAGGTGAGGGCTTATGGCGAGTTGTCATCTGAAGTGGTGACGACTAGTGGCGTCCGTCAAGGATGCCCATTATCCCCATTCCTATTCAATTTCATCACAGATGTACTAATGGACTTAACCCTAACTCACTTCAGCGACTCAGGGATTGACTTGCTACCAGGGAAGAATCTCGTTGACTTATAATATGCGGACGATATAGTCCTTCTAGGCGAGGACTCTGACAAAATGCAGAGTCTACTGAACACCCTGAGCAACAATCTCCGCATGTTTGGCATGCGATTCGCCCCTATAAAATGTTAGATGATGCTGCAGGATTGGACTTCATCGACCCCTAGATTAGAAATAGGAAGTGAAGTGGTAGAACACGTTGACCGCTTCAATTACTTGGGAAGTACCATCAGCCACAACGGGTTGATCTCCGACGAAATTTCAGGACGAATACAGAGGGCTAGGTTCGCATATGCCAGTTTTCGC